GTAACTAATTACCCTACTTTCTCAGGAAGAATGAGAAGGCCTCTGCTTTGATCTTCATTCCCCAGACAACCTAGTTTAAAGCCCTCCTCACTAGGTTAGTGATCCTGTCTCTTTTTTTGTCTTGGAACCCATGACCAGTATAAATTACACTATGTGGAAACGTGGAAGGGAGCCAGCACTATATGACCAACCAACTCCCCCGTGTCCCCCATCCCCTTCTCCCCAGACCACAAGCATTAGCTTAGCAACCCAGAAAGAGTTCATGCCTTGCCATCTGGGAACCAGTCCTTGACATACCCTGGCTATCATGGGACAGAGAAAGCTGATAGCAGTCTTAAGAACCTGTTGAGCTTCAAAAGTGAAATTCTGACTGCCCCTTTGAAGTCAATTGCAAAATTCCCATTGCCTTCACTGAGGTCAGAATTTAAAAAAAATCCCTCTTCCAGTATTATGGGGGTTGATGAAGCAGAGTGCAGTGACCAGACCAGAAAGCTGTCTGATAGCCAGAAAACAGATCCAGCTTGTTTCTTCTTATTGCCCTAGTGCCTGACTGCAGCATTTATGGCCAGATACCCTTTTTATGCTAAGGACATAGACAAGTGTACACGTGGAGCCCATTCAAAAATGGGAGCGATGCTGGTGTTCCCCCTCCCTTTTGAAACCACTGCAAACGTAGGTTTGTCTATATGAGTGATTCCTAACTAGGGTACCTTGAAATCTTGTTAGGGGTGCTGTGTGGACCATGCACTGTTAGGTGTGCAAATATGATTCACAAGATAAACCCAGAGTTTTCAAATAGAAAACCATAGTGTTAAAAACGTTCTGATCTGTTGTGATCATTCTGAGTTCTTTGTGACTGAAGAATCGCTCTGTTATTTTTCTGTTGTCAAAAACTGAGTGAAAATGAAAGGTGGTGTTTTCCAAGAGGTGCCTTGAATCTAAAAAGGTTGAGAACCACTTGTCTGGACCCTAAGGCCACATCCAGGTGAACGTGGACATTTGGTTCTCCGGGGGCAAGTAGCAGTGGCACACCTTGTGCTGTAGCTACGTGTCCTGAGGAAATGTCTATGCCACACATGCTTTGGCACATGGCAAGTTACCCCATGGGCAGTATGGGGGACTGGGGCCGGCACTGTGCTGGCCCCAGCAGCCTTACCTGTGGGCCTCCTGGGGCTGCAGCAGTGGTGATCATGCCAGGCAGAGGCTAGCTGGCAGCCACAGCACAGTTCCAACTGTCCCGGCTCCACTTTTCAGAGGTGTGCGCTGCCCGTACATGCACTGCTCCGGGTTTTTTTTCCCCGTGGGTTTTTTTGACCCCCATTAAGGGGGTCAAAAAAACCAACAGAAAAAAATCTGGAGCAGCGCACGCACAGGCAGCGTGCCCTTGCAGCATGGAGAACATCTGACTGTTTGGTATGTGGCACTGCAGATGTGTTTGCGGTACTACATACCGCATGGCCATGCTCATCTGGATGCACCCTAAGTGGGTATTCATTTAATTCACATCTACAGTAAGGCTTTTTTGTCTTGCCAGCACAGTGGTAGTGGAATTCAGCTGCCTAAATGTTTAATGTTGTCTCCCATATGCATTCAGCTTTATTTCCCCTATCCTTACTTATGTCCCAACTTATCTCAAATTGTGCTGTAAATGGGCAGAATGGAAAACTGCTTTTTCATAAAGTGCTCATGAAAAATTAGCACAAAAAAATTATTCTTTGTAAATGGCAGTATATTGATAATGAACAAGTACCATGTGAAATGTTGTTTCATAGTAAATTACACTTAGCATGTTGTTTTCTTCCAGAATTTGTGTTAAAGTCTTAGGCCGTTTTCAGCCTTGTTTTATATGCTGACCCATGATTAAGTTTGCTGTTCAGTCAAGTAAAATGGATAGTATGCTGTAGTTCATGTGCAGGAATAGTCTTTTTAACCCAAGGCTGTTAAACATCTGCTTTTCTCTCAGTCTTTTCCCGTGCTATAAATGTGAATGGTAAAGTTTAGGAAAAATAGCCAATTCTGAAATTAAAGAATAAGTATATAAATAAATTAAATAGAACTTTTAAGATGCCAGATCATTAAAAACACATAAGGATCGTAATTTATGGTAACAGTTAGAATTCCCAGGACACTACTAAGACAGGCACTGCAGAAGTGTGTAGTGAGAGAGAACCTTATCGTGTACATAGGTAAGGCAGACAACAAATGGGAAAGGAAGCAACACAGAGAGATGAAGTGACTCAGTAAAGGTCAAGTAGCAGCTCAGTGGCAGGGCATGAACTAGAACTTCCACATCCAGGTTCAGTATCCTGGCTCCTGGACTATGCTTCCTCCAGTTAGACTGCTTGTGTATTGAGGATCACAGAATAAGTGTTTTTTAGTGCTTTAGAAAATGAGTGTACAATTTCTGGGTTTGTGTTACTGTTTACGCGTAGTGCACTACACTAATGCCCTGACCCAGGAAAACATGCTTAATTAAACGTGTTTAGTTGTAAGCATGGATGTAATCCATCTGAAGCCATTCTGGACATTCATGTAATTAAATATAAGCCACTGCTGAAGTGTTTAAGTGGGGTGGAATTTACGTTTTTACAGGTTTGGGCCCTGTGTTTGAAACATTATCTTTGGGATCTGATTCTGTGTCATGCCAAATACCCTCCCTAAAGCAAGCATGAAAGGTGCTGACACTCTACAGAACTGTTGTCTCATCTCCCTGTCTAGGCTTTTTTATATGATCCTCATCTACGTAAAAACTAAGTGCTACATAATCACAAATGGATTTTTCTTCATGGTTTCCCTGTTAGGTAGAGGAGTGTTTTCATCCCTTTAAGAGTACTAAGACACAAATAGATTAAGTCACTTGACAGAATTCACTCAGGAACAATTGACGGAGACACCAATTGAACCTAGTCATTTGAGTTCCTCAAAATACTTGCATTATCCTGTAACTGGCTTTGTATCTTGTAGCCTCTTCTCTGTATTTTAAGGAAAATGATAAAAGTATTTTTTTAAAGCTGTGATTTTTGTTTATTTAGGGATTACTGGCAGAAACTCATTACTTCTCTTTTATGTAACTTTTCATATGATGTGGCATTTTATTACACGTGACTGGTTTGCAGGTGTTTGCACCATAAAGAGTATTGCATAAGAAAGCAGTTTATTTGATAGAAGAATGTAAGGGCGGTTTACATTTACTGACATTTGTTTAGTCTTTACTGTCTTTGTTCTGCATGCCTCTTCAGACTTTTTCAATACAAACTTCTTTCATAATGCCATTCCCAGATAAGGGTCTTTTTGTATATATTAGTATAAATTAGAACTAACTGCAGTGAAGTCAAAGGAGGCATAATATTGAAAAGTCAGGGAAAATAGAAGGATAACCAGTTCCATTATGTTCGTTAGATGCTTTGAGGTTCACTCATTCAAAGACAAACTAATTCAGTTGAACTGTTAACAAACATTCCTCAGTCGTATGACTCTGTTTCCTATTAGGGGTCTACTTCAAAGCCCGTCAGTGCCAGCGGGTTTTGAAAACAGTCCTGAATTGCTAAGATGAAAATCAAGATACTATATTGTAAAGTGATTTGTCTTGTCAGTGTTCATACGCCTTTGTTTTACTCCCTTTTTCCTTCCAAGTAAGATGAAAGTGGTTGGGAAAATAGTTTCTCAGGTGTGTGAATAATATCTTAAATGAGAGGGGTGGTAGCATGACTGAAATTTAGACTGTTATCAGGATGGGCCCTCAGGTTGCTACTGAAGACGCATAAATAGCAGTGCATCATGAGTAAAAGGAAAAGAATGCACCATCAAGCCAAATAATTCTTCAGAGACTATTTATCTTTATTTTTCATCTCAGGAAGAGCATGAAACTTCAGAGTCAAGAAAGAAAACACCTTTGTAGTTCAACTAGTGCATCTGATAGCTGTATTCCTATCTGACAAAACCTTATGCAATGTTTTGACCCCGTTTGCCTGGTTCTGTGTTGCCAGAGGTACCTGGCACATGAGGGTAAACTGCTTTAAAAGCTGCCCCACGTGCCCAGTATATGGGTCTGAAGAATCCACATTGCTATGAGCACTTCAAAAGAATTTAACATTAAGGGAGCTAGTTTAATCTGAGAGTGAAAGGATAACAATGGGTCCATACAAACAGTTTTAAAATACCTCACTCACAGGAGAATACAACAATACTAGGGAGCAATGTTCTCTGTAAGCCGCTGCAACAAGTTTCCTCTACCACTATTTTTAACTTAACTCACTCCACTCTGCTCTTCACACATCTTCATCCACCAAATACATTCAGCATTTGTTCTAGAGCAAGCTGTGACTATGAGCCCTTTTACTTCCCAGGGATCACCTGCTTTTTCCTTTGCTATGCTTCTTAATCAGATCTGCTTATGCAGACATTCTTTCTACCCTGGTCTCTGAGGTTCATTTTCTATGCTGTTCCCTGAAAAATAACCAGGATTACTAGACTAAGCTGCAGAAATGCTGGTGGCTTATCTCCTTCATCCAAAGCAAAGTCCTGCCCTGGTTGTACCATCAGGAAGGCTTAAAAAATATATCCTAATTTTGTATACCAGACACAGTTTTATCAGTGTACTGTTTTATTAGTAAAATGTCTGAAATCTCTATTGTTCAGATGCTTTAGAAAAATGAACAGTGTTTTGGTTTTAAGTTTATGTTGATGCCTTGCCAAGATAGTGCCATAAACCAACATTGAAAATGACTAATCCTCAATCAAAATCTGATCATTCCTATAACTTTATGACAAACCATGATGAAAACAGTAATTATTACTTTTTTTCCTCATCTACCAAAAATGTAACTAGCTTTGCACTTAAGTAATTTTACATGTATGGTGTAAACTGCATTTTGTATGCTACAACATTGATGGTATCTGCAGTAGATTAGTTTTGAAAGTTAGTTTTGTTCAGACAGCAATATGTGTACACAGGTAACTTTAAGAATTGACCCATTAAGGTGTTTTCTCTTCCTTTTCAGCTGAAGTGTTACCACAAAAAATATCGATCAGCCACTCGTGATGTGATTTTTCGCCTGCAGTTTCATACAGGTGCTGTCCAAGGTTATGGTCTTGTGTTTGGCAAAGAGGATTTGGACGATGCTAACAAAGGTAGGTTACTTTGTGTGGGTAATTGGCCTTGTACGTGTGTCAAGTTTTGTGTGACTGGGTCTTTGTGCATTTGTTCAAAGTCAGGGGGTCTGGGTGAGGGGAGGTGCTGTTTGGCTATGTGTGTGCTTGCATTTAAAGTCAGCATTTTCCAAAAACTGGATTGGCATTCTTGTCTGCACTAGAAAATACGTGCATTACATTCAGGTTAATCTGTGATAACTGACACGGGTTAAAATCCTGGAGCACACAAGACAGTTTGTAGTTTTCATGTGAAATTAAAAAAACCTTTAGGTTGCTGTATAATTTATAATTTAACTAGCCAAACTCTAAAAATTACAACGTGTCTTGCTCTGGTTCTGACTCATCGTTCAGGGTGCGTTAACTATTCTGAACTAAGAACAGACTTTTTAGTAGTGAAGACAAAACTAAAAGGAGTCTAATGTTCACTGAGTAGGGTTAGCTCTTCCTGTCACTTGGGTCCCTTTAAGATGCTTCAAGCAAAACACCTAAAAATTAAAATTGGGTCAAACAAAATCACTAGACGTACCTGAAACTCTCAGCCCAGATGCTTTGGGTGCTTCCTGAAGTGTCACTTAATTTTTTGTGTTATAGATGGTAAATAATGAGTTAAATTCTACCTGTCATGTAACATGCATTAAAAATATACTTTCCTTCCTAGTGTTTATGTATTGGAAACATTTGTTTAGTGGTTTACAATTTTGCTAGCATAGAGAATAAATGTAGTTTGTTCCAGTTTTTTATTTTTTCAACAGCCTCACAAAACTTCCATAAATAAAGTACTAGAGGATTTTGTTTTCTCTTGGTTTGGTTTCTGGTTTTGTTGTGGTGGTTTCTTTTGTGTGTTGTTGTCTAGTCTGAGAAGTAAGCTGCACTCTATCTTGCATTTCTGGGGTTCCTTTTGTCAGAGAGAACTTTGTTTTAGAAGCTTGAACAAAAGTGAGAAGGAAAAGAGGGAACAAAGGGTGGGGAAGTACCTGAATTACACTGTAGAATTTTGATTTCTAACTGCATTGCTACTGTCCCCAAGGAGATAAACTTGCTGAACTATTGTGTTTTGTTTCCAGATGACCGTTTTCCTAATTATGGAAAGATTGAATTGGTATTTTCAGGAACCCCAGAGAAAATCCAAGGTGAGCATTATATATGTAGAATAGTTTATGTTCATGAAGGAAATTAATTGTATAACAAAGCTCCCTTCCCTGCCGCCCTATTATCCTTCAACAGAGTTGGAGTTTAACTCTTATTCCTGAAGATATTAGTGTAGAAAGTGTAAAGGCCCAGTAAGGGGCAGACATCCTGGAGATCAAAACATGGCTGCAGAGATGGTGTTGCCGTGAGGGCTTTGGGTTCTTTGATGATGGGTTGCTTTCCAGAAAGAGGGACTGCTGAGAAGAGATGTGTTCCACCTGATGAAGAGAGGGAGGAGTCTCTTTGCATACAGGCTTGCTGGCCTAGTGAGGTGGGCTTTAAAATAGGTGTACTGGTGATAAATCAGATCATGAATATATAAAAATGTTATGCATAGGTCCACAATTAACACAGTAAAAAACAAATATAGTGATGAAGTTTATCAGCCTTGTCAACAGTAAAGGATGTTTAACTCTGATAGCTTCAGCCTTGTGAGCAAAAATTGCAAGATGGTTTACTAAATAAGAATCTGTTTGCTGGAGAAGCCATATTAATTTCTCTTGATTTGAGAAATATGTCAATTTCTGCAAGAACAGTGATAAATACTTTCTCCTTATGTTGTTATATAGAGGACATTCTAAGACATAATTCATAATGTCTTCCAAAACTCCTAGACAGGCTGGGCAACATCTTTTAGCTGTGGGCATCTGTTCAATCCTGAGTCTAGTCAGAGGTTTGCCATTTATTGTTGAGATCCAGCTGTGAATACCTTTCTCCCTGCCCACCCCCCCAATCTAATTTCCAAAGAATATATAGAGGGCCGATGCAAGCAGCCTTGGCCATTGCAAAATCATTCTGCCTGGCAATATCTTGGAGTCTGTGGAAAACCTGGACCTTTTCTATGGGGGAGAAGAGTCATTCATTGTTTTTAACATAATGGCCCATCCCAGAAAATGCAAAAGTTCAGGAAAGAAAAGCTAGCCAGGGAGAGTGAAGAGAAGGGGGATTATTGATGTCTTCTGTATAGCACAATTTGAGCAAGCGAGACGGTAGAAGAGGCAGGCTTTTTAAACCACAATCCCACCATTCTAATAAAAATATTAGTTAAAATGGAATCTAATCCCATCTCTAATCTCAAGAAAGATGCAGGAGTTGAAGGAGGAAGAGCCAAAAGAGCCCTGAGAAATTTATTCTGATGTATGTCTACATCATTACTGGCAGCATAGCCATACTTCAACACCATACAGGATCTGAGACACAACTCTGGCTTTATATTCTAATATGGGAGGTTGAACTGATCATTTTGCTGTGGTCTTATAAAATTTCTTTATAGCCTCTGCTAATTGTCCTGCCTTAGTTTTAACCAACTGTATGTGGTGTTTCCATGATGGAAAAGCTGGAAACATAACACCTAAGTATAGGTTTTAACAACTTTGAGTTTGATTCCCCCCATGTTCCATGGGTATTTCATCAAATGGCTTCCCAAATACATTATTTTGGATATATCATAATTTATCTTTTAATTTATTTTGTCCACAAAGATGCTCAAAAGTTGTAATTGCTCTCTGAAATCTGATGGGGGTTCTTGACAGTATGACAGTGTCATCTGCATACATTAAAACAGGGATTGAGGTTGCTAGTAATTTTGGGGGATGAAAATGAATGTCCTGCCTGTTTCCAAAAATGACGTTCATATAAAGGTTAAATAGCAAAGGGGGCAAAATACATCCATGTCTAACCTCTTTTTGTGTCTGAAATTTCTGTGTAAGTTTGCCCTCAGGCCCCACCTAACTTAGGCCCACGTAACGTTATGATATTATATCAGCAGAGAGGAGAAGGGTCAATTCCACAATTTAACAATTTCTCCCAAAGTTTACTTCTTTCTATACTGTCAAAAGCTCTTGACAGATCAACAAATGCAACTTACCATGTTGTTTTGTGAATTTGCGTATATTTGTCTCAAAAACTGAAGGATAAATATATTAACAGTAGTAAAATATCCATCCCTAAATCTGGTCTGATGTTCATATAATATGTATTCTCCTTTTACCCATGCTATGAGATAGTAAGATACGTTAATTAAATGAAGGCAATCCCTTATTATACCTTCTCCAATTCCAGGATAACACTTGTCTCTCCATACTGTGCCTCTGAGAACAATATGCTCTTGGAACAAATTCTCTACAGCTTTGGAGCCTTCAATAACAAACTCCCTTAAGGGCTTCTTCCACTCCAGGCTTTTCAAACCTCTAACTCTCCCAGGACACGTGTGTGCCTCTAGTGGATGTAGAGTGCCCTTAGACACCCAGAACTGGAGTCAGTGAAAACCCATGTCTACTGGACGTTGACTCGAGAAATGAGATGGGTGGGGAGGAATGGAGAGACATTTCCAATATTTACCCTTCAATAGTTGAGTGGCTAGGGCACTTGCTTGGCAAGGTAATACCTTGGGATGAGCAACCCCCAGCACACCTACAGGCTTGGTGGCGCCAAACTGACTAGCACCCTGAATGAAAGGGACCTGGAGGTAATAATAGACTACAATATGAATGTGAGCCAGCAGTGCGATGCTGTAGCCAGTAGGGCAAATAACTCTGGCATGCATCAATCAATGCATCTCCAGCAAAACCAAGGAGGTGATTATTCTGCTCTACTTAGCACTGGTGAGACCGCAGCTGGAGTACTGCATCCAGTTCTGGGCACCATACTTTAACAAGGGCATGGACAAGCTTGAGAGAGTCCAAAGAAGAGCCACCTGTATGATCAGAGTCTTACATGGCAAGCCATATGAGGAAAGGCTGAGGGACTGCTCCTGTCTCTGTGTGCACTCTGGTAGAGGCCTGGGGGACATGTGCCCTCCCCTTCTGTGCGCAGGGCAGAGGCAGCTGCAGCTGTGTGTTGGGCTCGGCACACCGCTGTAGCTGGACCAGGAGCAGCGTGACACCATGTGCCTAACCGTGCTGGGCTGTGCCACGCCCCTGCCCACCCAGCAGCAGGACGCCCATGGCATTGCGCAGCTCTTGAAGCAGCAGGACACAAAGCCTAGCCTACTGCGGCAGCCGCCTCTGCCCTGCACAGAGATGATGGGGGCACATGGTCCCTGGACCTCTCCAGAGTGTGCACTGCGACAGGAGCCCGCCCATGGCGTTGGAGGAGTTGTCGGCTCTGATTGTCCCACCACCTGGCCAGGGCCCCATTCACCCTTTCCCCTGCCCCACACCTTCCCTCACTGCTGGGCTCTCAATCAGCCCCCCGACGGGCCCCACCCCTGCCGGGCTGGCCCCTCCCACCG